GATCTTCTTTATGCACCAAGAGCTTGTAACACTCCAAAGAGAAAGGAAAAATTGAAAAAGCATCATATGACCCCTTTAAAAATAGAAGTTCTTTATAGAATCCATGAAATCTTTCCATTGCACAAAGGTTTTTTCATAATGAAAAAGGGTTCTTCACACTAAGAGAAATTGTTCTTTTAAGGGGAACCAAAAATGTTTGGTTCAAAACCAAAAAGCCACCTTAATTTTTAAAAGTAGAAGTTATACTTTATAGTATACTACATAATGGTATTATACAAGACTCTAACATAAAGATACCTAAAATAACTTTATTACAAATATTTTAACATGCCGTTACAAACTAAGCTGGGTTATCTACACTGTGGCAAAATTCACTTCTGCACTGCACTGAGCTGGTGTGAGAGAGTTAATACACAATTGCTTAATAACAAATTACATTCATCAACCACAATGTAATGAAAAAAATTCTCACATTCAATTCTAAACGAAATCATTAAATCACTGTTCCCTGATTCAGGTGATATATGTTCATCAGAATCATGTTTTGTAATAATAGAGAACAACTGCTTTAAACTTATGTACTTAAAATTGTGTTTGCCCCCTAGTGGCTGGAAGTGAACATGGACCTCTAGACACACTCTGAATGGACAGACTTCAATTGGAGGGCTTTCGGTTTCCATTGATATCTCACTTAATTTCAAAAATATCCAACAGATGGCTCAAAATGTGCCAGAGGTCAAATATCAAAAATACACGCATGTGTGAAACACAACACAGACCACAAGCTGGAGGAAACAACAACTGTGCTTTCTGTGCAGCTGATCTTATTTAAGTGATGTTATCAGAGGCAAACATGCTTAATCAGGGAATGATGAAGATGTCATGCTGAGATACTCATCTAAATCATCCACAGCATGTTTCTGTATATATGTACATTTTGAAACTTTTCATCATCTTTTTACATTGTTGTATATGTGCAAACATTTAAGAGTATTTAAATCTGCTTTTTATGTTTCCATAGTGTTGAAGAGTCAAGGAGAAGAGAAACTACATAAGTATTATAAATGCATCTGCTTTATGAGGAAATGTAAGAGGAAAAGATGTGTGTTCCTTAGACGATTAAACAGCCTTCCTCAAAAGAGTAGTTGAGTTGGCAACTAGAAAACGTATGATTCCCAACTGCATTGATAAACATCTGCTGTGATTTGTTGAGTGCTGTCTTTTTACAGTAACTATACCCAAACATATCAATGCTCATATTTAGCCTTTATGTTGTACAAGTGCTACTAAAATCATTAAAATGGCAGGTAAGCCTAGATTCTGATATAATACGTAAATATAGTTCTGTTTAGTGATTGCTTAATTGCTTGTTAAGTTCAACACCCTAGTTTCAGTATATGACACAGTCTTAGAATACTGCATAATAAAGAATAAGTATTTCATTCAAAATACTCTCACGAATGCTGGTCCTGGAAGGTTAAAAACTATGTAATGTAGTGTTGCCACCTACTGGAAAATATGCCATGTTGGTCTAATGGTCTAATAGCATCATCTAGTGAAAGAGAATAGTATTACATGCTGCATGTTAAAAGGGATAGTTCACCCAAATATTAAAGTTCTCTCATCATTTACTCACCCTCATGTTACAAACCTGAGTTTCTTTTCCTCTGCAGAACAAACAAAAATAAATACATTTTGAGAAATATTGTTTGGGCCTCAATGTTCTTTAAAATATGTTTTGTTTCACAAAAGAAAGGTTTGGAATGGCATGAGGGTGGAGTAAATGATGATAGAAGTTTCATTTTTGGGTCAACTATCCATTTAACACAAAATATTTTCAAATAAAGGTACTTTTATTACAAAATAATGATATACATAAAAAAAAAACACTTTCTGCTTTTCCTCTTCTATTCTGCAGTTTCACTTACTCTTCAAATGTTTTGTGGCACTGTTAATATTGTTGGCTCCTTTAAGATAAATTACTTCTGTTTTTCCTCATTTCCAAGACTGGTTAGTCTGGTAAACAAATAAATGTCAAATGTAATGTTCTTGCTTTTGACTTTCCACTTAATCTGTATCTTTTGTTGCCTGCTAAAGTATACTTATCCGATGGTTTGACTGTTCCTCAGAATCTGCCACGAAAGCACTTTTTCATTTTCATTTCCATGACTAAAATCACACATGCAGCAGTCATTCAGTTTATGGATACAGCGTTTGTCATTCTGTCTTTTTGAAGAGGGAGTTACTCTACATTCTTAACAGTAAATCTTAGTCATCGCATCAGTGTGATATATAGAACTTCCTTTTTTTTATTCTCATCGCATCTCTGAGAATCAGACACCAAACCCTCTCGCTTAGTTTCTCAAACCGATTGACTTCACTGGATGCTGCTGAAACCAAAGATTGCAACATATGTTAGATTTGGAAATGTCTTCATGCCATGAAAAGCACAGAGGGATTCAAAAGTCTGGGAGCATTCAATAACTATAATATATATATTATTCACACACACATACACATATAAAACTTTTCTGGCATTTTTTAGTTCAACTTCAATGCCGACTTCTAAATGCCCATTGCATGTATTTGTCATGTTTTTTCCTGAGTGTGTGTATGTGTGTTTTTTCCTGTGTCACTCTGTAATCTACAGGTAAGTAACATGATCCCACCAGCCTAAAAAAAAACCTACTAGACATGGGAATCTTCATCATATCAGGTGTGTTTCCATGAAGGAAAAGAGAAAATCACAATAAAAAATATTAAAAATTACATCCTTGAAATCAGAGTGTGGCGCCGCAGGTTCCTGGAGGAAATTCCATCATATATGCAAATCTGATCTGAACAAGTCCCCCGGATAAAAATGGGAAACCCAGAACATCTCATTCATACTGTGATGATGCCATTCAATTGCTCTGATACCAGCAGGCAGCAGGAAGAGGATCAACCAAAACTTTCCATATAGTGTTACGTGAGCACCTTTCAGTGCTATTGAAATGACACGATTTGTTATTTTTTCACCTTGAGCCTTATAAACAAAATCCCCTGATATTATTTACTGTAACAAGATGCTTCATCTAAGTCAAAAACATATGTAGCATTACATTAATGCATAAGCCACGCAGATCATGTGAAATAGATCTAGTTATTGAACGTTAAATGAATTAAAATGTCATAAACAGATTTCAGTCTGTGAGCCTTATAGACTGATATGATGTTTTATAGAGATTTCTTTGGTCATTTTGAAGTCCTCATTCACTTTCATTACATGAAAAGGAAGGAAGAAAAACATTCATACTCGACATATGAGATGTGAGTCAATGATGACAGGTTTTTCATTTCTATTCAAGAGCAGGATGTTGAAGTGTTTTCAGATGTTTTATCTGAGGAGAAGTGTTGGAAAATGATACTGAATTCCTCCAAATCCCTCTCCGGTCTTTGCTTGTGAAAATGAAACTGTTGAACGTCTATATCTTAAAATGTCTATCTATCTATCTATCTGTCTGTCTGTCTGTCTGTCTGTCGACAAATATATCTTAAAATGTCTATCTATCTGTCTGTCTGTCTGTCTGTCGACAAATATATCTTAAAATGTCTATCTATCTGTCTGTCTGTCTGTCTGTCTGTCTGTAATTTTTGTAAGATCTATCCTGTCGCGTCACTAAAAGCGCTTCTTTCTCGCCTCGGTTCAGCGTTTATAGATAAATTCGCTGATTTATCCTTGAATTCCGTTTTAACACGGGGAAATCAACTTTAAAGTCACTAGTTTCCTGCTCCTGCAGTGTTGAAAGTTAAGTAAAGTGCTTCTGATATTATCATCTCTCTCAGTCTCAGTATGACTGCTTGGATGAAGAAATAAATGTATATTTATGATCCACACATGCTGTCCGGAAGGTACTTTATATATATATATCATAATTTAATATTTTATTTATTTATTTGAAATTGTAAACAAAGATTATTGGAGTAGGTTTTTACAAGAAAATGCTATTTTAGTCATTCTACTTCCAGTTTTAACGTTTAATTCATTACTTAATTCTTTGTAACTAATTGTGAAATGTACTATTCATTTCTGAGTTAAAAATTTCAAAGTAAATTGTACACCAGATTTTTTCAGCATAAAACCCACACTAAATTATTATTCAATTAGTGTAATTAATGTAAATATATTAAGTTTTGTAAGAAGCCATTTTTACTATAAATTTAATTGTGGAAACACTAACTGTAAACTTAGTTTTCTATTGGTAAAATAATAGTTGCAATGATAAATTTTAAGTCAAGCGTTTTTCAAAGCGATCATAGGAGATGATTGTAGTTTTTGGGTGAGAACGCTAAAGTTTTCTCATAAATCTCTTGATATTGAACCGTGTATATCTCTAAAATGATGATGAAGATGTCTCATCATCTCTGTGATTCTCATCTGTCTTCCTCCAGCCCTGTTTACAGTCGGTTTACAGGAGAGCAGTTATGAAGCAGAGCTACATGAGGACGTCAGACTAGTGTGTTTGTTCTCCACGGTTAAAAGTCTTTCCGACCTCACTGTCATATGGAGCCGAGTCGAGCCGAAGCCGGCCGTGGATGTGTATCGGCTGGAGAGAGGCAGAGAGAATCACATTTACACCAGTGCCGCGTTCATAAAGCGCGCACAGCTCATCCACGAACAGCTGAACGAAAACCGAGCGGTGCTGCACTTGAAAAAGCTCCAGATTAAAGATTCAGGCACATACCGGTGTATCGTGAAAGAGGCAGATGATGGAGACTACAAGCAAGTCTCGCTCAGTGTTACAGGTGCGTTTGACTTACAAAACACACAGCTTGACAAACAAGTTCATAAAGGTGATAGCTGCCTATATTTTTAAGATATTAGTTGATTTGCAGTTGGTTTGCATGGCTTAATTAACTGTTGCAATGTGTTATGGTTCTCTTTCTTATTTCTTACTATATATAGGGAGAGAAATAGAGAGAGAGAGTTTATTAATTTTTAGATGCTCAATATTCAATACTGAATATAGCCAGTGTGTCAGCAGAAAGAGTCCTATATTGCATAGCTGCAGTGCATTAAAATGACAATAAATCAATAAAAGACAATATTTCTGCTGTATGAATATTTTTACATTCCTAAGCAGGAGTTCCTGTTTATATTGCTAGGATGCAGCTCATAATAGTATATATTAATATATATATTTAAAGAAATGTATTTATTTAATTGTACTGTATTTCAGTGAACACTTTGCGCACTTTGCTTTCTGAGTTGCATTTTTGTGCATATTGCATTGTATTGCATTGTTTTATTTATTTTGGCAAATCTAGTGGATCATCCAGGTAGGGTTTGGGTTTGAGTTCAGTGTATATAGGAAATTTGCATACTGCAGAAATAGTCCTAGTATGGCAGAACATTTTTCCAAATATATCCATGTTTTCTAAAACTTGAACCAGATTGTCATGCTTATAACTTTAGCTATATATTATGTTTATGGTTTCCAGCTCCTTATACTCCCATGAAGAAGGCCATCATGAAGACGGGTCAGGATGAGGTCGAGCTGTCCTGTGAGTCTCAGGGATTCCCGTCCGCTCAGGTTATCTGGAGCGATGGTCAAAACACAAACCTCACAGAGATGTCCAACAGCACCACACGCTCCACAGACGAAGATCTCATCCACGTCATCAGCAAGCTGACGGTCAAACGAGACCTCGTGAACAACTACACCTGCTCTTTCCTCGTAAAGGGTGAAATCCAGCAGACGGCCACCTTCAGCATCCCAGGTGAGTCTGATGTAGGAAAGGTTTATTAACTAGTATCAGCATAGTATACAGGTTTGGAGAAATGTAGCATTGCATCAGTGTCTCAGCAATGGATGCTCTGCAGTGAATGGGTGCCGTCAGAATGAGAGTCCAAACAGCTGATAAAAACATCACAATAATCCACAAGTAATCCACAGCACTCCAGTCCATCAGTTAATGTCTTGTGAAGCCAAAATCTGCTTCTAACTGTTGCTTCTGGCAAAAATATGAGTCCATAATCCATAATAACACTTCCTCCAGTGGAAAAGTCCATCCCCTGTTGTCTCTCGCATCCACCCATTCACTGCAGAGCATCCATTGCTGAGACACTGATGCAATGTAACTCAAAAGTGTGTGATTCAAATGAATGGACATTTTATATGCAGCTAGTCTTAAACTTGGACGTTAAATCTTTTTCTAAATGTATGTAGCGCTTTCGGGAAATAAGATCAGTTCATCTCTGTAGGAACGAGTATCAGCCTACAGATTTGAACAATGCCTTCGTTTTGATGCCATCATGTTTTGATGATATTTTGGTTGAAAAAAACATAATTTTTCTTGATGGTTTTCCCCGGATGTGGGGGCGTGTGATATGAAATACATAGGTAAAGACGTCCACAAAAGAAAAACAGATCGGTTTCAGATAAATGTGTAGGAGTGCCTTTGCTACAGTTTTTTTCCAGCAGACATTAAGATCATAACGATGCAGATTTATTCATATGATGTTTCACTCTAAAGCAAGTAGAAGGTCATTTTTTCCGTTACGTAACCGAGTTGTACAATACCCCACATTTATTGAGTGTATAAGTGTTGCTAAAGTAATAATGCAATTAGCTTTAATTAAATTATTGTTTGATAGCTCTAATATCTGATTGGATTAGCCATGTTCGAAGCAGGATTATCAGTATTAACTGAAACTAAAACTAAAACCATAAAAATGTTTAATTACTAAAAATTAACTGAAATAAAATTTTAAAACTTCAGCAAGTTGCAAAGGCAGCATTTGTCATTTCTAAGTAGTTTAAGTCGAAGTACAAAAATAACTAAAAATAAATAAACTAAAAAGATAAAACATAAAAAATTATATAAACATATTAAAAAAATATCAAAATGACACAAACTCAATTTTAAACTTTAAAATGATCACAACAGAAAATATTAAAATAAAATTTAATTTTAATTATTTATTTATTTATTTATTTTATATAAATATCAGATTATAAAAAGGTAAGAAAGAGATAGTTCTTTAAAGAACCTTTGACTGAATGGTTCTCTGTGGAACCTTCTGAAGCACCTTTATTTTTAAGAGTGTATAGTGTGTGTATCTGTAGGGTATGTGATCATTTGACAACAATGTAGCATAGTACTATTTTAAAACCATTTATCAAATAAACAATGCCTACTATTTCACATACTTTTAGAAGTATTCCATCTCAAAATAATGGAGGCTTAATTCCGCCACAGAAAAAAAAAAATTCTCACAATTCTGACTTTTTTCACTTAATTCTGAGTTTAACAGTGAGAATAAAATCTGAATTGTGAGATAAGCAGTCAGAATAGCGAGATATAAACTTTTTGCAAGCAATTGTCAGAAAAAAGTCTGAATTACGAGATATAAACTCACAATTGTGAGATAAGCAGTCAGAATAGCGAGATATAAACTTTTTGCAAGCAATTGTCAGAAAAAAGTCTGAATTACGAGATGACTCTATAACTTGCGATTGCGAGATATAAACTTGCAATTGTAATTCTGAGAAAAAAAAAGTCAGAATTGCAAGATATACACTAGCAATAGAGAGAATAAAGTCAGAATTGTGATATAATCTCACAATAGTGAGAATTGTGACAATTGTCAGAAAAAAGTCCAAACTGAGATGTAAACTTGCAAATGAGTTTATAATTTGCAATTGTGAAGAAAAATGCCTACATTTTATGATATAGATTTGCAATTGTGAGTCTGAATTGTGAAATACAAACTCGCAATAGAGAGGAAAAAATGGCTGAATTAAGATTTAAACTTGTACTTGTCAGAAAAATGAATGAATTATGCGATATAAACTCACAATAGTGAGAAACAATCCAACTTGCACTTATAACTTTATAACTTGCAATTGTGAGATACATACTCATAAGCCTGGTCCCAGACTAAAATGCATGTCTGAGCTGTTTTAACTGAATGAAACTTGCATACATATTTTAAAATATTATCAGTGCCATTGTTTAGTCTCAAGATGCACACCAGTAATGGAACGTTCATAAAAGATGTCCTAATGGAACTATGGCCTAAACCTGGCTTAGTCTAAGCCCTGACTGTGAAACCAGGTCATAAAGTCACAAATAAGCTTCCATACAATTACTCCATTGATTAGACGGCAGCAGCACGTGACAATGCAAACCACATGTAAACACTGAGTTCAAGCTTAATCTTCAGTATCTACAGGAAAAAGAACCAGGCTTTGTCACGGGGAAATACCGCATTACTCATTCACGTGTGGAGTAACTTCAGTATCATGTTTAGTTCAAAAACAAAACCTTCACACTGTAAAAAATGATTGTGATTTTAACAGTAAACGACTGTAAAATGCTACAGTAAAAACCTGTTAACTGGTTAACTGTAAGTTTCCATACTATATTCGGTGAATAAATGTAATTACATTTAATGTGATTTCACAGTAAAATACTGTTAAAAATACATTTTTTGGAAGTGAAAAGAAAAAGTTGTATAATTTACAGTAAGCTTTATACGTGATCTGACCTTTAATAAGAAGGTTTCCTGACAACGCATGTTTTACAGAAATAACCCTGACAATGACAAAAGCATTTGTCCATTGCCTGATTATGAGCTGAATGCTTAGAAGAAGCTTTTAGTGTCTGTCAACAGCTGATGATCATATTATAAAATCATTACAATGCAAAAAAAGCTGTTTCATATCCTCTTTTTGTGTGCAGCCATGGGTGAATTCCAATAAATAATGATAAAACGTGACCTCTATCTCTACCACCTCTATCTATTTCCAGGTCAGAAAAACAGACGAAGTGAATCTAAATGTGCTTTCCTCTTCCCACATGCATCCTCTGCCACCACTGATTGTGAGTTTTTAAAATTCATTCACATCATTTCCAGTACATGAAGTATATATGCTTTTTATGATATGAACGTCAATATAAAGTGGCTGTAAAGGCACCGTAAAAACAATATATTTCCTGTTGAGAGCATACAATACAATACACGCATACAGTACATGCTGCTGAGAGATTAACTTGCATTTTATATATTATATTATTTAAAAAATGTGTGTGTGTGTGTGTGTGTATATATATAATTTCATTTTGAAATATATATCGAAAACATGCCTTAAAATAATATATATGTCAACTTGACTTTAATATATTATCTTCACATAAATATATTATTGAGAAGGTTTAGAGACTTATTTACTCATTAATTTTTATAAATATTTTATTCAAACTGTTATATTATTTTAATTTTTACCTCAACCAGTGTTATTTTAGTATCACTGAGATGCTATTACAGTTTTATAAATATTTAGAATTAATTTGTATTTTTATTTTTCCTGTTTTTATTTTAATCATTCATTCATTCATTCAATAATTCATCTCTATAGTTTTTATTTCAGTTATTTTCAGTTATTTTAGTACATCAAGTAAAATTAAATAAAAAATGAGAAATATTGCTTTGGCAACTACCTGAAAAAAAAAATAAGTTTAAGTTTTTATATATATTGTTTTATTTCAGTTCATGTTTATTTTATTCCAAGTAACTAAAACATTCTTTTTTTGTTGTTGTTTTGTTTTGTTTTGTTTTAGTTAATGATAACCTTGACCTCAACACAATAAACTCTATATCCATTGCATTTTATTGATCATACTTCTTTCATTGACAGCTTTATTGACAGTGAACGAGAACAAGCCGCAACCATGTGACTTGAACTCAGAAGGTAAAGCATGTTCTGATATAATTATGATGGCAAGTTAATGATTAACCTGCTGACGTTCAGTACAGTAGAAACTGGAAATATGACCCTTGAGGCCCAGACTGCACCTGTACTGTAATCTGTCTAGTGTCTATAGCTCGCTGTGAAGCACCTGGAGGTTTCATGTGATTGTGAATCACTGAAGCCTGTTATGAATTTAGTTGATGTGGGCATTAGTCAAATGGAAAATGTTCTGCATATTGTTGCTCTTGTGACTCTTGTGTGTCTTTCATTTGTGCAGAAGCTACAGAAAAACCTCTATCCCTGAGGAACGTGCTTATACGACAGTATTCACAGCTCTGCACAAACACTGAGATGAAAAGCAGACTTGTTTCATATGCACTTCTCAGCAAGTAAGCAACAGATTGATATGAGGGAATTATGAATGTGACACAAACACTTAAGCATGCTAAGAGTCACTCATGTGTTGAATCACACACACTAACACATGACAGGGAACTTCCTTAAATAAACAGAGTGATTACTGTCCGTAAGAACAATGTACACACACACACACGCACACTCTCTCTCTGATTTATGAGCTTACATTGCAAAAAAAATTATTTTCTTCCTCAGTATTTTTGTTGTTTTCAAGACACATTTACTTGAGGTTTAAGATATTGAGTCTTTTTGAAAAATGATCCAAATTAAGTGAGTTTTTGCTTAAAACAAGAAAAACATTGGTTGGGAAAGAAGAATAAAGTTCAAAGGGAAAACAAGAGTATTTTTACACCTTTGTGTAAAAATTACAATTTTGGCAGATACTTTTTCTTGTTTTAAGCAGAAAATCACTTAATTTATATATATTTTTTTTTTTCAGAAAACAAGACGTACATCATTTTCCTTCTCAAGTAAATGTATATTGATTTTAAGATATTTATTAATTTATTTATAGACATTTAATGGAAATCTAATAGAAAAATAAGACAAAATACTAAGTAAAATAAAACTTTTAGTGTTTAATCTCTGAGATGTCCATTAAGAGATTAAATAATTCTAATTCTAAATAATTCTGAACTTTTAAATGGATCCCAAACTCGCATATTTCATACATGTTATTTTTCTTTATTGCTTTACTTATTTATTGTATTCTTTTATAAGTATTTAACAATTTAGTATTATTTAAATTTGTATGTATTTAATTATTTGTTTGTTTGTTTTATCTATTTATTTAAAAATATTTTTGTTATTTTGTATTTTATTTTATTTCTTTAAAAATACATTTTTATTTTTATTTTATTCATTTGTTTTGTTTATTTATTTTAAGTATTTTACATTTTTGAATTTCAATTGTAAATATATTTAAATATGTGCATTTATTTATTCATTTGTTTTTACTTATATATATATATGAAAGTGAGTAAGGTATAACCGTTTCCAGTGAACTGCTGATAAACACAGCTCTGGCTAATTGAGAGGTTACCAAACCACAATAAACACACATTACTCATTGATTTCCGTGTTAAACCACGTCATTTTTCCCTCTTGATTCCAGAGAAGGCCGATCTCTAAACATCAGCTCCATTCTGCCTGATAAGAAAGAAACCATCCTTCTGTTTGGAGAACCAGGCAGCGGGAAAACCAGCGTGGCCCAAATCCTGTCGTCCTGCTGGGCTGAGAAGACCACGACAGACCCCTTCAACATCCGCCGGCTCCATCTGGTTTTCCAGGTGGACTGTAGCCGAGCGAAAGGAGACTTTTTTCAGGTGATAAAGTCCAGCATTTCTCATGAAAAACCACTAGATGTGTCTGAGTTCAGAGAGACGCTTCTGGGCCCGACGGACTGTTTGCTCATCCTGGATGGATATCAAGAGGGAAACAAGGACCTGGATGAAACACTCGAATGGTTTCTAACAGAGCGGCAGACATGCAGGGTGTTAGTGACGTCACATCCAGGAAAATGTCCAGCCCTGGAGAAAAACACCAGGACAGTATTCCAACTTATTCAGAAACCGGAAGAGTCTGGATCATGAAATCGGATAAATTTCATATTTGCACAGACTATGCTTTTGCAATTTCATGTTACAGCAATGTGCAAATTCAGCAGTTCCAGAAGATGGATCTGCCTTTTGTTTCTTGGGAATTTTTTATGTTCTGACTTTTGGTAAACCGGACTCATCTGGCAGGAGATCGAACCATTTCACAATACTTGAATTCAGTATTTTTCAAGGACCAAGTACAGAAAAAGAGAAATGAGATCACAGTTCTTAAACCTTATTTCTGCAAAAAGTGTAGAAACAATTTGCACTCAGAAATCACTAGTAATAGTTACAAAGAAACTTCTAGCAACACATTGACTTAAATGTGAAATTTTGAAATAGCATTTTCTTGTAAAACGTTTTATTTACAGAATCATGTGAACTTCTTATCGGTCAATGCATATGGTTTCAGGAATAACACGGGTCAGATTTGCATGTTTTCTGCGAAACATAGTTTAACTACCGTTTTATCTGACAGATCATTAACTCAGAGACTAATCGTGCGAAAAGCAACTTCTCTTTTATATTTACTTTACGCGCTTTCGTTTTGTTTATTGATGTCAAATGTGATTATTTTGATAAAAGAAAACGAATAAAAGTGAAAACTTTAGTTTGCTCATTGTAGACTCTTTCAGAAGCGTTTGCACATTCAAGCAGCTCAGTTTGACATGTTTGATGGATGCACGAGCGTTGCACAAGTGCTTTCATGTACAGACAGAGTTGTTTGTTTCACTTTCGTTTTGCTTTGACTCTCAACAGGATTAACTTCCATTTCTGAGAAAATACACTCTGCTTTAACTGGCAGTGAGAAAAAAAAAAAGGAAGCGCAGGTTTCCCGCAAAGGGAAGCCAAAAAAACAATGCCTGAGTGTTATCTAGACACACTTTGTGAGCTATTGCACTTGGATGCCTTTTTAACTATTATGAAAGCATTAAAAAAGAAACGAATGCTGGAGCTCAAACAGATGAAATGTTTGCAAGGTCTTAAAGCTTTAACAGAAAAGTGTCTCTGACGGGAAATGAAGTTACCAAAAATGAAACATTTTGAACATATTGAATGTGAAAATCACCAACATATGTGCCTTACTTTAACCCTTTGATGTAGAGCCCTAGATTGTTTTCTTTAACATGCGGGGTATTTAAATCGCTTTTGATTTCTCGATCACATCTTACAGGATCAGATATTTATCAATGAGCTCAGGATCTGTTGAGCAGCAAATCCTCCAGCATCTTTACTCTCGACCCGTGATCAGTCAAATCTGACTCCTGTAGCTCGTGCTGGATTCCCCAGTGGGTTAAATGTTTGAAATATGCATAAATTACAATTGACTGGAATGCTTGTATTGAAACCTTTGCTGTGCTAGATGTTAAATCTTGTAAAGGAGGGCCACTGGTAGGAAGCCTTTGAGCTGCGTTTATGATCAATGTACAAAACAGTGACTGTGAAATATGTAATTTAGGTATGGAAATTACATATTTTGAGTTTGGATATTTGGGATATGGTCATTGCGCTACTTTGTGCTGTTTTTGACTGGCATGGGCTAGTTTTGTCACGCAGACTTGGCAACCCTGGCTGTATGGAGCAGAGCAGATGAGTTCAGTTTAGTGTAACTGTGTAACGCACTAAATTGCGGGATAGCGGGACCTGCACTACGTTTTTTGACCACCCACAGTAAAGGTAAAACCACCCACTCCCGCAAGATTTGCATTGGGTCCCGCGGAATCCCAATCCCAATGCAGCCCTCCACTTTGATGCATGTAATGTTAAACAGCAAAGTAATACGTCTTGCATGAATATAATCCTTTTTTTCTAAATGATGAGTTCATCTCTATACACTGAAATAGCAGATAATAAATTTAAAAAACACAAAGGTTAATCAAGGGGTTTAAAAAAGGGTCAAAGGTCTTTGGCCATGATGTTTTGCATGTTACATCACATCCACAATAATTAAGATATATTTTTTGAGTGTGTTCAACATAGACAACACCAGCATCAGAGGGTTAAAGTGTAATTTCTGACTGATCTAACTCTTAAAAATGACTTTTGTGTGTGTGTGCAACCCAGTTTTGCACCAATAAAAGTCATTTGTATATGTATTATGACATTTCAGGTTTTTTTTGTATTCCTGTAATGGTGCCACATCCAGATAAAGGATTAATTTTCTCTTTATGAGCTGATTGTTCAAGGTAATTAGATTTATTTAGTCATATAAAATTTTATTTTGACTCTAATAAAACTTTTAGACGTTAGCACTTGAAGCACATTTCAGGTTACTCAACAAACAGTGCAATGCAACCAGACTTGGTTTAGCAGGACAGAAGTGTGTGGGCATGGAGGGATTCCCCGTGTCTCCGAACCACTGATATTTCCTCATTCCTAATTCAACCAACAAAAAAAGGAACAAATGGAGCTTTTGTTGTTCTTTCTTATTTAATCTATGGTACTAAAACCACATACATGCTGCAGAGGTTTGGGAGGGATAAAACCCCCAAACTCCCGGTATTATTTTGTAAACTGAATAAAATTTTCAGCAGTAAATTTGTCTAAATGCAACTGTCAGTTGCATGAAAAATCACCCTCAGGCTATCCAAGATGTAGATTTGTCAGATTTGGAGAAATGTAGCATTGCATCAGTGTCTCAGCAATGGATGCTCTGCAGTGAATGGGTGCCGTCAGAATGAGAGTCCAAACAGCTGATAAAAACATCACAATAATCCACAAGTAATCCACAGCACTCCAGTCCAT